ACTTAATACCCTCTACTCCACCTCACCCAAAAGATAAGAATGTTAGAAAGGGACATACATCCTGCTTCCAGATACAAGAGATGCCTGAGAACACAGTAATTTCCTCTAACTCTTAAAGCCTAGGATGAACTTGGCATGCCTCATTTCTACTATCCTACTTCTTACGTAAATTTCTGTGTTGACTGTGCTAGGCCCATTAATCTTCACATTATTTTCTGAACACAATTCATTTAATTCCCAATTTCTTATTTTTGTTCTAGCCATTTGTTTCTGATATCTACTGCTGCATAACAAATCACCCCCAAAACTTAGTGGCTTAACACAAGAATAGTTTTTATTATCTCTCATGATTTTATGAATTGACTGGGTGCCCAGCTGGACATTTCTTCTCCACATGGAGTCTGCCGGGCTGTAGTTATCTGGTGACGTCACTGTTGGGAACATTTAAGATGGCTCATTCACATGCGTTGGCGGGGATGATGGAGAGCTGGGTTCATCTGGGATGTTGGTAGGGCTGAGTCTCTCTCTTTCTCTCTTAACTTGGCCTCTCTAGATGTTCTCTCTAGCAAGATAGACTTCTTATATGGCAGCTTAGGGCTCCCAAAACCACAAAAGCATAGTTTCCACACCTTATTATGGCTTAAGTCCTGAACAGGCACCATATTAACTCCACCATTATTGTTGGTTAAAGTGAGTCACAAGAGAAGCCCAGAGACTATCAACCACAGGATTCTCAAAAAGCCTGCATGGAATTTCCTTCTTTTTGCTAATCATTGTCTCTTATCTGTTTCAAAACCAGGGGAGTTCTTAATCTAGAGGTCTGTAAGTACATTTCAAGGGAGTCTATCAATATCTAAAAATTGTCTTTTTACACATATTTTGAGTTGTCATCCATATGTGCACTTTTCTAGGTAAAGGATCCCTAGAATTATTGTGCTAAACAATTCTAAAAATCAGATTCTCAAAGGGTGGGTCTATGATCCAAAGAAGGCTGCAACATTGGAATGAATGAATCATACCTGATTCTACATCCCATCTGCACAATAATTATGTGTTGTTGTGGGTCTTTTGAAGATACATGGTATGTGCTTATAGTGTCTCCCACCAACTAGTTTTGAAATTCTGCTAAGGCAAGAGTCATATGTCTTCTTTATCTCTAGACTCCCTAGTTTTTAGCACTGTCTTTTAAATAATATTAATATATGCTGCGTAATACATGTAGACTGATTTCCTATGAAGGGTTTATCTGGGTCTTTGTGTAAGAAGAACGTAGACACAATAACCATGACTGGCATCATTCTTACCACATATTGTCTCACCCCTTTCTGTTTAAAATGCTTTCATGTGTCTTATTTGATACTTATCTAATATGAGTCTATAAGGTCAGTAGAACAGATGTTATCGTGATATTATTTTGTGCTAAGGAAACTGAAGTTTGCATAATCTCTCTCAAAGATTTAGAGCTAGTTTGAGAAGGAACTAGGGCTCCAATATTCCTGATTTCCACTGACCCTGGCTGTGTAACATGAGCCACTGTGATGAGGAGGAGTGAGGACAGTGAGATAGATGTGAAAAACTAGAAGAGCAAAAAGAGTAAGAATTCAAGCTTTAGCATGCATCAGGATTACTTGGAGGGCCTGTTAAGCTACAGATTGTTGGCCCCACCAACAGAGTATCTGACTCACTAGGTGGGGACAGATAATTTGCATTTTCAATAAATTCCTAGGTAATGCTGATGCTGCTGGTCTGGTCTAGGGACCACACTTTGAGAGTCTGGTCTAATCTGTAGTTACACATGATAAGAGAAACTTCCCTGAGCCTTGTGCTTCCATTAATATGCATTCATTGATGATCCTAATATGGTTGTCACTCATTTCTGATCTGTATTTTTTACACTCAAAAGTGAGTAGTTAGAAACTCTCCCTCATCCAACATGAACACATACCAGCACCCTTACATACCACCCTCTGCTCTGAAATGAAGGAGATCATACTAGTAGTCAGATGCCACAAAAGTCCTCCACTTTTCATTGCCCTTAGAAATCTGCATAGGAGAGTCAAGAGGAAAGGTCCATAAAGGAAAAGTTAATAACATGGATCTTCTAGAATGGGGAAATGAGTGTATGCGTCATCCACTTACCTCTGACAGGGAATAGTTAACTGCATCAGAATTTGAGAATTATGCTCATTGGGTTATTCAGATCTTAATAATAATATAACAGAATATATCAAGAGCTAATTTTTTAAAAATACATATTTACAGGAAACTATTTTATTACCAGTTTTGCAGAAGAAGTGGGTCCTCTTTATTTCTTAATAAGCATATGTAGTTGCTCTCTTACAATCCTTCCAGAATTAGGTCTTGCACAATCCCCATCTTTGAATTCAAAAAAAAATTCCTGAAAGACTTACTGACGCTGGTGAACTGATAAACTCTTCATTAACGAAAAGGAGAAATGAAATTGGCCCAGTGACATGGCATTATGGAAACCTTCCTTTTTAGCCTTAAGGTCATCTCACAGAGCACAGAGCATACTTTGAGGGCAATTACTGTCCCTTGCCCCTTTAAGGGCTCAGACTGTCACAAGATTGTGGAAAGCATTTATGATTTGCATTGGGAAAGGTTAATGTATTCTTCCCAAATATAAGCTCCTGTTTATGCAAAAGCATGTCTCTCCTATTTGCCCTGCCAAAGCTCTGATCCAAGCTTGTATTTGAAAATTGATGGTCTCAGGTAGATATTAAAGGATTTCTAGGGCAGAACACGCTCTTGTTAATGCAATAGGGAGGAGTCTTACGTAGTCAAAATCATCTGGAATTGAATTGGTCTATATCAAATAGAACACTTAGATTCCTATTAAATGTTCCTGTGTGGTTAGGGAAATGGCAGTTCTTCCAAATAATTATGCAGGCAAGAACTCTTTACTCTTTTACGTAGAGCATCTAGGAGTGGCGAGGACTGCCAGACCTGTATGATTCCTTGTTAACAGAACTGTCAGCCAAGTCAGGATGACTTATGGGCCTTTCCCTACACAGGTCCACCACTAAGAGTCCAGGAATAGAAAGAAGGAATTTTTAAAAAGTCATCCTTTCCAGATGAGAAAACTGAGGCATGGTAAAAAGAGATGGTTTCAAATTGTCATAGTTACAATTAAGATAGAGCCAGATACCCACAATTTCCATTAGTTGCTTCTGACAACAAAAATTTGAGAATGTGCTCATTTTAAAGCATGCAGTCAAATATACTCACTTAACAAAGTGGAAAACTAAGACATACGGCTAGTTAGAAGCAGAGTCTGGACAAGACATAGGTGTCTCGACTCTGAGTTCTTTGCTTAATCCATGCCTCTCTTTCTCTGGGCTTAAAATATTAATTATGAGAAAGGTGATTTTGTAATCAAACAGATAATTTCATGGTGTGACTTGAAGAAGTGCTGGGTAAATCCTTTGTTCCAAATATCTATCCTAATTAGTTCATTATTGGAGTTTTACTCTTTGGGTCTCAAAGCCTTTTGTTCTCAGTTTTTCTATGCCAAACCTCTGGGAGACCTACGTCTTACCAACTTTCACCTTATCTCATCGCTAATCATCAGTAAACAGCAAGACCCAAAAGGAACCACAATGGCACCTCTAAAGGGGCCCAACGACAGTCAAAATGAAAAAGAAAACAAGTAGGTAGAGCCAAAACAGACCTCTCACGTTCTGTACTTTTCTTCTCTTTATGTTCTGCTTGGTGCTAAAACCCAAGCCTCTGAAAAGCCTAGACTCCCTCAACAAATAATCTTGACTTCTGTTGGTTTAATCTGCTTATTGTTCTGAGCTGCTTGACCACAGAGCAGGGTTTCTGTGGAGGCTGAATTACGAGTCTCTCTGGGTCAGGCCCGGGAACTTGATAGAATGTGAGATTCCCTGAACAGAGCATACTGTAGCTGTCTCTCTGCTCCCACAGATTTACACTTATCCAAACATGTAAACTGCTTTCAATTCTTATCAGGGAAATCAAAAAGAAAACGCTTATCACTAAAGGGTAGTATGAGGGGTGGGCGTGGAAGAAGGGAAGTCCTTTGCTAAGGGAGTTGGAGAAGGTGTGTATAGACTGACATCATATTTCTATTCTGTTCTATTTTACTACAAATTAACTAAATCATCTTTTCCACAGCTGGATGCCCCTTGGACTCTAGTTAACCTGCAGCAAAAGAATCTCATGAAGTCACTGCTCAAAGTGTCACCTCAGTTGGCTGTGTGGTGACTCTGCTGGTCATGAATACTCACACGTTTCTATAGGATGGCATTTTAGGGACTTTTTCCCCTTTTTCTTTAAGTCCTCATCTATCTTGAGCATTCAGATGATGGAGTAAGAAACAATGGCAGGTCATAAAACAAGCACGGGAAGGTAGAACCAGATTCAAGTTCAGGGTCTTGGCTCACTTGCTGGGTGACTTACCCATACATGTCCTTCAACTAAGATATAAGCACTTACTATATTAGAGCCAATGTTCTTAGTACTGTTGCCCAAATCTACCAATAATTGTTTCCTCATGTGTAAAGTGGGAATCATTTATCATTTTACCAATACTTTGTAGGACTGTCTGGGGATTAACTGAGACAACATGTGAGTTCCTTATCTACTGTAGGCACACAATAAGTAACAAGTACTATTTTGGTGGTGCATGTTATTCCTTAAAAGTAAAGTTTGAAGGCAGGGTGCAGTGGCTCACGCCTGTAATCCCAGCAGTTTGGGAGGCCAAGGCGGACGGATCACTTGAGGTCAGGAGTTCTAAACCACTCTGGCCAACATGGTGAAATGCTGTCTCTACTAAAAATACAAAAAAATTAGCTGGGCGTGGTGGTGGGTGCCTCTAATCCCAGCTACTTAGAAGGCTGAGGCAGGAGAATCACTTGAACCCGGGAGGTGGATATTGCAGTGAGCTGAGATCACGCCACTGCACTCCAGCCTGGGCGACAAAGGAAGACTCAGTCCCCCCCCCAAAAAAAAAAAAAAAAGTAAAGTGTGAGTGGCTTTTGTGTTTCAGCACTCTTGAAAGGTACCTGAAGTGAATTTGCACCAAAGCAGCAGCTGCATTGCCTCAGTTCTATCTTCACCTTCACAATGTTTCCCTTGGTCAAAACTTCACTAAGTCATCTCCATGTTCCAAGCATCCAGCAAACAATGGCAAGGCAGAGCCACCAGAAACATACGTCTGATTTTCATGACAAAGGTGGTAATGCTGTATTAGCTAATGGAGACACTTTCTGTATTGCTGTATGGACATATGTAGCAACACAAATTGGAATAATAGGGAACCTGTCCCCTGTTGGCAGAGTCACTCTAAAGGAATGGAGAGATCAGTAATCATCCCAGCTGGTATACTACTGAATTGTTTAAAAAAATATCATAATTGATGCCAAGTGAAAGCACTGTATACCCTTAAGATATGGCATTATTGAAGAAATAAATTTGAAACCTTCAAAAGCAAACAAAAAAATGGTAAAGCATAAGTTCTGCCTAGATCATAAGCTTGTTAAAAATCAGAGTCAATGTCTCATTCATCTTTGTTTCCCAACCTCTATCAGAGTAACTTGCACATATCAAGCTCTCTATCCATGTTTGTGGAAATAAATGAGTAGTTAGAAATTAATAGATTGGTAATAGATAAATACATAATTTCTCAATTCAAAGAAGTCACTGAGAACCTGGGAAAAAAGTAAATATGTGTGTGTGTGTGTGTGTGTGTATGTGTGTGTGTGTGTGTGATGAGGAATAAGAAGACAGTAGGGGAAGACGGGCGCTGTGGCTCACGCCTGTAATCTCAGCACTTTGGGAGGCCAAGGCAGGCAGATCACAAGGTCAGGAGCCCAAGACCATCCTGGCTAACATGGCGAAATGCCGTCTCTACTTAAAAAAAAAAAATACAAAAACTTAGCCGGGCATTGTGGCAGGCACCTGTAGTCCCAGCTACTCGGGAGGCTGAGGCAGGAGAATGGTGTGAACCCTGGAGGTGGAGCTTGCAGTGAGCCAAGATCGCGCCACTGCACTCCAGCCTGGGCAACAGAGCGAGACTCTGTCTCAAAAGAAGAAGAAGGAGGAGGAGGAGGAGGAGGAGGAGGAGGAGGAAGAGCAGAAGACGACGAGGACAATAGGGGATACTGTGAAATCTCTATCAAATTCCCTTCCATCCACAAGTTAAACATTTAGCTTACAGAGACAGTAAGTCATTAAGTAATTCTTTCTAGGTCATTGCAGACTATTTACTGTTCCATTTTTTTCACATGTGATTAATCTGAATGTGCAAATTAGGGATTTCAATGGGATTTGACTCACTTCCAGAGTCCTTGAGTTATTGATAACATTTTTTTCTTAAAGTGAGGACCCTGCCTCCTTGTTTCCCACCCTCTCATTCTCTGGTTACCTTAAGTAATGAAGCCACATGGGAACACATCAGGGATTCTGATTCAGAATGCATCTGATTCCTTCCTGTTTGGATCAGTTTCTCAGCACTCAGTTCATTTCTGAAAGCACATCAGTTCCAGGATGTGCAAGACCCTGGGACAGAGTATTCTCTCTCACCGTCTGCTAATGAGATAAGTGCCGCAAGTTAACAGGCAGCCACGGGAATAACAACGAGCACTCCAGTATGCATTTCCTCTAATTACCCATGTTTATGTTCTTGCTGATTTGAGAGGGATTTCTGTGATGAGACAAGGCCTCATTCCTTTTCCTCCCTCCCCTAACGCTGGCCTTCTAAGGAATATCTATAAAATTTCCTCCTCTACTGGTAGGACTGTACCACTAATTAAAGCACTGTGGACTAACATGGCCATCTGGATCCCATCTGTTGTTCTTCCAGAGACTGAGAGGGCGGGGTGGAGGGCCAGAGCTGATCACTAGCTGATCAACTAACCTTCAATTCTGGTACTTTGCATCTTAGTGAGAATGTCAGAGATCAAGAGGCCACAATTGAATGTCACTTACGGGGCAGTAGAAGCACTTCCTCTGTTATATTGGTGTATTTACATGGACTCAATTATACCAAGTCTTTACAATAGATTTAGTGCCATGTGGATCCTACAGATGGCATAAAAACAATATATGATATGGAGGTTGGCAGAGAGAGAAAGAGCGAGCAAGGAGAGAATCTTCAAGAAGAACAAGATCCATGTGGGCTTATTTCTATACCTCCAATAGCACCCTGTAGGAAGTAACAAGAGTGACCCACTATTAAGACCTATCATATACCAGGTGCTTTTCATAGATTCTTCTAAGCCTTGTATAACCTAAATGTCAGCCCCTGACTGTCCCTAAGTTCTCCAGCTTTTTGAAGTCGTCTTGTCTTTTAACATTGAAGTAAAAATGGACTTGAATGTCCATCTTATGTTCATTAGGAAACTTGGGGTCCTTCTCAATATCTCCAAGGGTCCTTAGGATGCTCATATTCCTTGTAACTTCTCCTGTTTCTGAGTTCCTTCTCCCAAATAATATATTTGATATTGCCTTGCATTTTATTATGAAAAGTAGCAAACAGATGCAAAAGAAAAGAGTGCAATCAATCAGGTATTTAACTTCAACAAGGGCCAATGTGTGATTAAAATTTTAAATCAATGCCGCTTCTTACCATAACTGAATCATTTTAAAGAAAACCTTAGACACATTATTATTCCCAGGAATAATAATACTTCATTCATTAAAAATTCAGTGTGTATGGTGAACAGACATAAGGTGATTCTCACTATCACTATTCTTATTTTCTGGTGTTTGTACTTTTGTGTAGTTCCCTCCTTATGAGTGTGGGCAGAATGTGTGACTTCTCCCTAACCAATTGTGTGTACATAAGACTGTAATATCCATCCTTCTAGCAGATTCTCTCCCTTGTTGATTGGAAAAATCCAGCTGCCACATTGTGAGTGTCCAGTGAAAAGGGCTATATGGCAAGGAACTGAGGGCGACCTCAGCTGACAGCCAGCAAGAAACCGAGATCCTCAGTCTGTTAGCTTGTAAGGCACTGAATTCTGCCAACAACTGCATGAGCTTGGAAGTGGATCCTTCCTCAGTTAAGCTTTGGACAAGACCCGAGCTCTGTTGGACACTTTAATTACAGCCTTGTAGAGAACCCAGCTAAGGCACGTTCAGACCTGATCCACAGAAACTGTGAGATAATCAATGTGTGTTGTTCTAAGCCTCTAAGTGTGTGGTAATTTGTTACACAGCACTGGTTAGCTAACACAGATACCTAAATGGCTGGTAAAGCTTTATTTCTGGATGTGTCTGTGAGGGTGTTCCTGGAGGAGACTGGCATGCGAGTCAGTGAACTCTGTGGGGAAGAGCTGTCCTCAGTGTGGGTGGGCACCATCCAATGTAGTTTCGTTATATCTAGGGGCCCAGATACAATAAAAGGCAGAGGAAAGGTGAATTCACTCTCTCTCTCCTGAAGCAGGGGTACTTTTATCTCTTGCCCTTGGACATCAGAATCCAGGTTCTCCGGTCTTTGGACTCTGGGACTTGCACCAGCTACCGGCTTCTCAGGCCTTCAGCCTCAGATTGAGAGTCACACCATTAACTTGCCTGGTTTAAAGGCCTTTGTACTTGTACTGAGAAACACCACCAGCTTCCCTGGGCTTTCAACTTGCAGATGACCTATCGAGGGACTTCTCATCCTCCATCATTGCATGAGCCAATTTTCCTAATAAGCTCCCTTTCACATATCTATTTATCTACATACATATATCCTATTGGTTCTTTTTCAGGAACACTGACTAATACAGAATGTATCTCCAAAAGATAGGGACATCAAAAAAATTAGCACGTCTAAAAATAAAATAATTTCTTAACGTCATGAAACATCCAATTGCTCTCCAAATTTTCAGAATTATAAAAGTCCACATGTTGCATTTAATTTTAATGTGTCTTAATTCTCCTTTTGAGATTACCTTTTAAGTCAGGCAGTTTAGCTATCTAGTTTCACTCTAGCCCATCCAAGTTATGTCCAAAAACTTCACCTTCCCACTAACCACATCCATAATAAGCTGCTTCTTAAACAATGAGAGCTCTCACTCTCTAAAAGAAATTCTAAGCATACCTCTTAAAGTAAAAACCTATTATATCTCTACTAAGTTTATAATCATAAAGAATGTGGGTATTTGCATTCCCATTTTACAGATGGGAAAATTAATGTAGGTAACACATATAGAGAAATGATAAATAGCAGTGGTTTCCAAGAATGATGACTATTTCAGTGTGAAATGGAGAGTGGCAGTGGCAAAAGATAGAGTTAAGTAAAAACGTGGATGGTGAAGGGCCCATTCTGCCTTGTTAAAAGGTTTGAACGCACCCTGTAGACAATGAATCACTAGTGAATCACTGAGCAATTTTAATTATGGAAGCAACATGATCAGATTTATATTTAAGGCAAGAGGATTGGTGGCAATGTAGAAGGCAAGCACAAGTCAGAAAGAGTTAGAAGAAAAGTGAGTAGTCTGAAGAAATTGGCCACATATGAGACGAGGGGGCTGGAATGACTATGCATCTTATTCTTAAACATGTCTCTTAGGTAATTGATTATTGACACCCCACATCCGAAGAATGTGACAATTAACTGAGATGTCAGAGTCAGCCTTTTCAACACTTCTAGAGAGAAATTTTCCAAAGATACCTCTCTTGTACTTCCATGGACTTTTAATAGATACGTTTATCATAAGATAACCTTCTAAAGAGCTCATGATAGCATATGATCAAACTCCTTATTGTACAGTCAGAAGGAATCAGCCTTGTTGAAGGAAGGGGCTTACCCAAAGTTACAAGTTGGGACAAAATTTTTGCTTCCAATTCACTGCTGTTCTTACTAGAACTGTTTTCTCCAGCCTTATAGACGTTCTGAGAAACAATTAGGCCCACACTACCATCAATAGGCAAATATGTGTGCCTGACCAGACAGACAGAGAGGTATTTTGAAAGACGCCAGGAATGAAGCTGGTGAAGAGGCCCAGAGTTTCAATCCTATTCCTACTCAAGATTCATCACCCTCGTCATCTTTACCATAAGGAAGAGGGCATTTAGAAGCACAAAAGAGATTGTTAGTGACAAAAAGGTACTTATACACCAGCGAATTTCATCCTCCATTTTGCTGAGGTTCAAAGAGGTACAGTGACTTATCCTTGGTTATGTATGCAACTATTGCAGAGCTGGATATTGGACTTAGTAGGCCTCCTGAAGCCCAGCACTGTGCCTGCAAGAGCATTCCCAACTCCTGTCTTTCTGCTCAATACGTGGGGAAGAGATGAACAATTTGGGCTACTCAAAATGTGGTGGGCATTCGGGCTCTGGGGAGAGCTTCAGCATCTCTTCTCTCTTTTCATGTTCTCCAACTCCTCAAGCAACATACACACATACCATAAAGATCACTAGCCAGCTATTTTCTGTCTTGAAAAATATTTATGATAAGAGTTTTCTAATTAGGGAAAGCCATAGTTCATACACAAAACACAAATTCCTAGGCTCTTTGCTTTTTCAGAAGATGCATTAATCCATAAGTAAATATACTCTGTTGCCAAGTCACTACCATGCTATATCTCATGGCAAAAGGATGCCAAAAGGTATGAGCTC